GTGTGAGTGTGAGTGTGAGAGTGTGTGTGTGATAGACAGAGACAGAGAGAGATGTGCTTTACATTCAGTTGTGTGTCTCTTGGAGATATACATACTTGTCCTTGACATCTCTTCTTCTCAGATGTACGTCCCTGGATCGTTACATGACGTGGACAATGTTTTAGTGGATGTGGGGACAGGATACTATGTTGAAAAGGCAAGTATATTTGCATTTGAAAGTCCATAAATAATTGAATCATCTTCCGTAGTAAATTATTAAAATGATGTAGATTATTTATACCTTGTGTTTATCTGTCTCTGTAGAAAGTGGAAGACTCAAAGGCATTCTTCAAACGCAAAATAGACTTCCTTACAAAGCAGATAGAGAAAATTCAGCCAGCCCTTCAGGAAAAACATGCCATGAAACAAGGTAAGCCCGGCTACATTTTTCATATTTATTTCCATTTAAAGTGCCAATTTCTACCTTTTTTTTTTTTAATTTAAAGTGTTCACATCTGAATTGGGTGACCAGTGCAGGAATTGTAGCCCTTTCTATACATAGTCTCACATACATAGAGATCAGTACCTGGAGTAGTTTCACATAATGCCTCAGTGTTCAGGGTTTTACATTATAAATGTTGCATTGAGTTTTATAGGGCCTTTATACTGTGAGCCTTTGTCACCACAACCTTACAGCTCCTCAAACATCCTGATTCCTTCGTGCTTCTTACTTCAGAACTTCTTACCTTGTACTTTATACATTGTGCTCTTTCTTGCAGCTGTGATTGAAGTAATGAACGTGAAGATCCAGCAACTACAACAGAGCCAGCAGACATCACAGATGGTTGGCCCCACCAAGGCTTAATGACAACACCTGTTTGAGCTCTACATGACTGGGGGCGGGGTTTAAGTGTGTGTCTAGAAAACTTACATCTGCGGTTGTAGGACGAGGAAATACCCTCCACTAATCTAATGAAGTCATGTTAAATAGTAAGGAATAAAGATTTTTTTTGTGCACAATGTTTGTCACCAGTAAATTATGACGGTGTTGTCATGGTAACGCTCAATTTTAAACTACTTTTAATTGGGTATCCAATTAGTTTGCATAATTAAAGAGGTCACTGTGCATTCAAGGAACATTTGTTTCTTTCATTGTTGTATATTGTTCAGTGCTTTTTTTTTTTTTTTTTACATTATACTTTTCTAAGTAAACTTCATCTTCTTCAACACAAGTTTTAAATTCCTGCACAGATGCATAGGTGTTTTCATTTTCTCTGGGTTAATTAGATTCAGGTTGAAGGTGGGTTGAAGTTTTACAGGAGGTCACCAGACTCTATGAAGTCTGCACACATCCACACAGACTAGAGAAGAGATCTAATCAACCACAAATTAAATCAATTGTCTATAAGGAAGAAGAGATGATGAAAGATGACAATTGAGTAGAATAGCGCTTGTTTAGTGGGTGTATTACTATGTACAACTCAGTTTTGGCACATAGTTATAATCCAACAACTGTTTCTATATGTGCTCATTACAGGTTCAATGCACACAAGCATTAGCTATTTTTACATGTTAAATAGATTTTAAATGATAAAATTGCCTTGATTATTAAAAAACCTAGCATTTCCGGTGTTTTTCCAAAAAGGCTCAATTTTTATCAATATTGTAATATTTAATAAAAGATAGTTAATACTCCACACTGCCCATGGTGTGATGACACAGATGTTGTATATTATAACCATATATATATATATTTAAATGTCCTGCGAGCTTATCTCTCATAATGATTTATATGACTTCAAGCTCTTTAAATAGGAAGTGGGCACAGAGTGGAAAGTGATAAGTTAAAACAAACAATACTCGGTAGTGAACTTCAGATCTCCATTGCTGATGCAAGACGGAACTTGGGCCACAATCTGTTCAAAGTTTGTCTGAGGTCATGTCCTACCCACCCTGCCCGAGAACCGTGCGCTGCAAGCGGTACTACCTCAGTCTGTGTGCGGCATCTGGTCAAATAGACATCACTTAACTTACAACATAAGCTAGCTTTGTGCGCCACACCGCTATTACGACCTCGATTAAATATAACATGGTGTAAAGGTCTCATACGGGCACCGACTCTGCCGTAGTGTCCCCTCGGAGAGGTCACACGGTCGGGCGTTGCTACGCTGCGGTGTTAGCATTGTTGTTGCCGGGGAGGCGGAGTGCAGCCTGTTGGGACGGACGGTGGCAGACAGAGGACGCAGCCGTCACATGCTGGATGAACGCTGCCTTGAAGGTGAACTGCGTGATGAGGAATTGAACAGAGGAGCATATGTCGTCAAACGGGAGTAGTTTTTGATTAATATCAACGAAACAGTTGTTGGTGTTATTACAGTAGAAGCGTTTTAAGTTGTGGACCGTTGGGACTGGAGCACGTTCGGCCGTTTGAACAACGTTACCGGGGAGACGGTAGTTAAGCAAAGAGAGAGCGACGAGGGTGACGAGGGTCCGCTCTAAATAAGTGCGGTCAATCACTTTTAAAGAGTTAAAGCGTCCGCAGGAGGATTTAAAAAAAAACAAAAAACCAAGAGGGCAATTTATTATCCCGGAGACGAGGAGGACATCACAAGAACGCGAGGATCAAAGCAGCATGGTGAGTTTGGGGCCTGGAAAAGGGGGCACGCTAGCTAACATGCGACAACCTGTTTGCGTTCTTCCTCCTGTTTGACTCGCTGCTTTCTGGAGCTCGACCGAACTGCTTTACTCTGTCGTAGTAACTTTACACCCTGACAGTAGGTGTTAGTCAGTGTCCATGCTGCGAAACAAGACTTATTATTTACATGGGCAGTTAATTGTGTTCATGCCAACCTGTCAAACAAATGAGCTGCAACGAAAGGCCGGTTCTGTCCGGTCTGCTAGTGAACCAACGTAGTTAGCCAAAGCCGAGTATTTATAGTACCGCTAGTCAAAACGTGGTCCCCGTCAAACAAGCCTGCCCTATGAACACGTGTGTGAGGACATGTAGAACTGGGTAATACTCTCGACTGACATTTCGCTTCGTTACAAGTTGCACGAAGAGTGTTGCGTTGCATGTTTAGCGACAACTACACGTGATTCATGTTACACAACTGTAGCTAGGTTAAGTAGCTATCAAAGAGTACCTGGATAAAGGTCAAAGCTAATCGCTGCCGAGACGCCAGTTTTAAAAGATCAATGCGGGGGTGACTTGGTAATCAATTGAGCACAAACGCAGTGTTATCCAGTGTCTGCTCTCTTTAACCGGACATAAAGAGCAACGACTGTCGTCGCCTGCTTAAGTTGCATGGGCACGTCGGCACCATGTGCTCTTTCCTCCCGACCCCCAAAGCAGCTCGACTTTGATTCACTACAAACCCAGAGTCGATGAGTTGAAACCGTATTTTGCCTAGCAGACAGGTTGGGGTGTGAGATTAACACTCGTATACTGGTTCAACATTACTGACTCAAGCACACTGCAGGGTTTTATAATGGATGACAGGTCAAAATGCCTCGCACAAGTCACGCTGGAGCTCAGTGGCGGATTTGCGCCATGTATGGTCACATGTGACCGTCTGAGAGGAGGAGTCAGAGCGAGGAGGAAGCCAATGACAAGTCAAACTGGGATGATTTGTTTGTGAGTGAAGAGCTGGGGCCTTGCAAGGACGGAAAGCTGGATTACAAGACCTCAGACGAACTAGCTTCATTCATTGGATTGGCTATTAGAGTAAAGGAGTCGTCTCTGAATGTTGTGTGGAGGCTTAATGCTGTTATTCTGAGGTATGAGGTTAAAAGCATGTGTGAATGGCTTGTTGCACGCTGATCTTTTACTGAGTTCCCTTCTGGCTTTTTTAAAATCAATTACATGGACGTGGATCTGTGATGCTGTTATTTGGTAAAACCAGGGCATTTTATTGTGCAGAATTTGCACTCGTATCAAAGGTTTTTCTTTTGAGAGACTGACGTATTATCTTGTTTGAAGGCCGCACATTGTATTTTCAGAAAGTGGTGATTCCAAGGAAGCTCGTGTATTTCGATTTGTTTTGTGTTGTAGGAGAGATGCTTAGCCTAATAGTTTATACACTACTGTACACATCATGATCGATATTGTCCAACAAACTCCTGTTCTCCCTCCACAGTTGTCCTGTAAGTCCTGTAAGCTTTAAATACCAATTTCTTCTTGTAATTGAAATAATTTGCGGGGCAGGCGACTCCACACATTACACATCATCATGTAAAGTCCCGCTCTTTCGTCCTGTTTTCTGTAACTCACAGTATGTTCATATATCCATGCAGGTCACCACAAAGGGAGCAGGTCTGAACCCCAACGCTAAAGTGTGGCAGGAGATACCTGCCCACCAAAACGATCTCCCAGAGGGGACGGAGGACTCTCCCTGGCTGCTGACCTACCCTCCCCCCGCTGAGATGACCGACGGTACGAGCTCATTCAGTTGTGTGAATGTCTTCTGACTTCACTTTATCTTGTCGTCTCTCATAAACTCAAACCAAACCAAGCCCCTGTCTCTCCCGCACTGGTACAGTAACAAAGGATTGGGATAGATTGTGTGACACGTATAAACATGCATGGTGCTTATTAAGCATTACCAAGATAATTGCAGGTAGACGTGGTACGTGAGGAAATAGCGTCGTGCAGCAAAGACGAAGCATGACAAAGCTTGTTTTTAGATTGTGTCTGAACGTGACAGTTATTTCACAATCATAATTTTGTTTCTGCTTGCCTCCTCTATCTTAGGTAACTTAAACTTAGACAATCCCTCTACAGGGGGAAAGGGATACGACACTGAATATCCTGACGGCACAGCTGACTATGCCCCTGTACTGACAGAGGGCATTGTGAATGGCATTGACAACCCTGACCTGAGCTATTTAGTCTTTGAACCACAATGCGAGTCCGCCACAGATGGTGATGTTCCTGAGGAGAAACCGATCTCTGAAGAGAGCCTCAGAGAGTCTTTGAAGAAACAGCTTGAGTTCTGCTTTTCTAGGTGAGTAGTGAAGCAATGTACTAAAGCCCTTTTTAATGCCACAGATTGCAACTCTTTCAGTGTGTTAATTCCTGTTCTTGCAAGTTTGGTTCAGGAATTGAAACGTTTAACAAAAACATTTTTAAAATACTTTTTTTGCTGGAGCAAATGTATGTATGTGTGCTTACAACTATAAGAACAACATGAGGCGATGATGAATAATAGAAATAACTTTGGAGTGATGTTTTGGGTGTTTGCAGGGAGAACCTTTCTAAGGACATGTACCTGATATCCCAGATGGACAGTGATCAGTTTGTTCCCATCTGGACCATTGCTTGCATGGAGGACATCAAAGCCCTTACCACTGACATGGACCTCATTCTGGATGTACTGCGAGGTACCAGTGCTGCTGTTCTTCCTGTATTTGTGCTCACAGATTCACCAACACTTATGTTTACAGACGGAATCCATATAAAACATTTTTAACTTAAATGAAGTAATTGTCTACCATGCATGTATTTTTATTTAGTTTTTTTTAATCATAGTGCTGCTGAACAGGGTTTTGGTTGGGTTGCTAAGGACATAGAGAGAGTTTGCCAGAATTTGAAGTGTATGTAACAATTAAAATACTAGAATATCCATCAGCACACTGTGTAGGTGTATTAGGGGGCCTCAACTTACTTTGAAATGGTGAAACCGTATTTAGATCGTGTCTTCATTACAGCTTCTCCCATGGTGCAAGTTGATGAAACTGGAGAGAAGGTTCGGCCAAACCACAGTCGCTGCATCATTATTCTGAGAGAGGTGCCAGAGACGACACCAGTTGAGGTAAAGTGAACAGTAAACCCTACAAATGAGACGCTGCCTCATGTTTGTGTTTGCTTACACTGTGTGTATACATATATCATGGCTCACTGACAGCTTATCATAGAGCCTTCAGGGTGGCGAGAGGGAAAATGTTGTGCGAGTGTGTGGAAGCCAGAAATGTCTAATATGGGCCATGCATCTCTTTCACAGGAAGTGGAGGCTCTTTTTAAGAGTGAAAATTGTCCGAAGGTGTTAAGTGCTGAGTTTGCACACAACAGCAACTGGTACATAACGTTCCAGTCAGATATGGATGCACAACAGGTACGACTCCACAGTAATCACCACACAGCTTATGTTTGACCAACTTGCTGTCTAATCCTAAAGTTACAATACAGTTACATTTTCAGTTGAATTTTTTTTTTACATTAGTATGTCTTTATTTCATATTAACATTGAACATTTACAATATAACTACTCAAGAGATTTGACTTTCATTATTCTTTTAAACTTGGAATTTGATCATTCTTGATTACAATGGCATGTTCCCTTTTTTTTTTACATGGGTAGATGTTATCAAGAATTGTGTGACTCACTACAGCCACTTCATCTTGACAAGTTTACAGTTCTAGTTAACACTGAACATGGCACTTATGTTGTAGGAGTGAGGGGAGGATGAAAGCTTCTGTTTTTTTAGATTTGCACAACAACACACATTTGACAGTGTTGTGAACATTTGTTTCTTTTCTTTTTTTTGGCGTCAGGCTTACAGATACCTAAGAGAGGAAGTGAAAATGTTCCAGGGAAAACCAATCATGGTGAGTCCTGTCAATGAATAACCAGTAATTGGCTGTATTATTTAGTACACTACTAGGTTTTTATCTCAGGCTGGCTCACTTCTTCTTTGGTTCTAATTTAGGCAGTACAACCCAGCAAGTCTGGTTACACAAGACTAGTTGTGTTGTCAGCTGTCACGTCACAACTCTCTAGGCTGGGCTGTTTGGCTAAGCCGTAGCCTCAGTGACCTTGGGATTTGTGTGTACTGAGACTTGATAAGCAAGGAGGTGTTTGTCAGAACAACCATATCTCTAGACAGTTTGATTGCTCAAACTTCTTATCACAATGTGACATTTACCTTTTGCATTTCAGGTATCTGATACATCCTTTTCAGCTGGACTTTGATTTAACCTTGTGTGTCCCCTTTTTTTTTTTCTTTTTTTTTTTTTCTTCCTCCCTCATAAAACAAATCACGTTGTCTGATGTATTAACAGTCCTGTCTAAACCCCAGTGATGATCAGTATCGCGCTTGGAAGGACCCATATGCACTGTGGCTGGCTGGGAGGAACTTCTCATCTGTAGCTGTCTATCAATCTATTGAATCTCTGCTTCTGCACTCTCCCTCATCCTCCTTTACTCTCCCTCTACCCCTCACTCCGTCTCCTTCTCCCTGTGTTTTCCCTAGTCAGTGCAGTGTTTTATGGCCTAATGACCGTTGAATTATGAGATCTGAGGGGACTAAAGGATGATAGACAGAGCTACAATGCTACTCGTCATAGGTACAGTGTAGGTGTCACATCTTCACTCCTAGCCAACATACCTGATTCTCTCTTTCTTTCCCTCCCTCCAGGCCCGCATTAAGGCCATTAACACGTGCTTTGGTAAGAATGGCTTCTGCAGCGTGGACTCAAGCGTGTACAGTCAGCATGCCCAACCACAGGCTCAGTATGGCTCCCCCGTCTACATGCAGCAGGTGTACAGCCCTCAGCAGCAGTACCCTGTATACCCTGTGGTGTCTCCCTCTTGGAATCCTTCAGCCATGCCTTACTTTGAAACCCCACTGGTGAGGACCCGAATGTATTGTTCACAATGTCTTTTTAAATGTAGAAAAGTTCTTTTTGTCCAGAAGAATTTAGATTTAACACTGTCAACATTAAGTTGTCATCATAGTGTCTATTGCAGTTCTCAGCTGCAGTTCATATGCAGTTGCATTGTTTATATTTTCTGGAGCACTCTAATTTGATTTCCCACTGCCGTTGTGATATCCAGGCACCTTTTCCGAATGGTGGATTCATGAATAGTTACAGCAGTCCTGGGAACTACAAAGGAAATCGACACATGAGCAGGAACCGGTAGGTGCAAGTCATGATGACGTGATGCCTTTCATTCATGTTAATGCTGTTCAGTCTTAATTAACTCCTTCAAGGAATTTATGTATGATATGATGATACGTAATTTCTATCACTTTAAAAAATGCCATTTTATCTAGCACATATATAAAGTCATAAAGTTTAAAGACACTGATCTCATTAATGCATTAATTAATGCACAAGATGTTCGAGTTGTACTGGTTTAGATATCTTTGTTTGAAATTCGTTCAGTGGTTTTGAAGCAGTATTCCATAAAAATACAATGCAAATTCTTAATAAAAACTACATACAGTTGAAAATAAAAAGTTATTGTTTCAATTTAGAGATGCATGACATTTAGAAACTAATTAAGTACAGTCACATATAATTCTTAACTGTGCCAGGCATAAACAAAACAAACAATTGAACTGCTAGTTCAGATCAAACGTCTTTTTTTCTAAATCACTGTCACAATCTTGGAGTTTGTTTACCCTCCCTTATTGTTTGAGTAATTGATTATACTTGTACAAGCCTCTGGTAGAGCTGACATTCAGTAGTAAATAAATACGTGTCCTTTGTTTATGCCCAGAAACCATGTTAAGGGTCACCCTTGCCCAGGAGACGTTCCCCCACCTTCTTCTTTGGCTCCGGTGCCCCTGATGGATGGCCTGTCTGCTCCCTTGAGTCCACAGCCCCTCCAGACACCAGGGACTCCGACTGGCACCACTCCGGTCTCTCTGCCCTTCTTCAGCCTTAAAGACACTTCAAACAGCGGATATCTGAGCGGGGCTGGACGTGGCAGGTGAGTCAATATTACCTTATTTATTAACACTATGGTAATGAAGATTTACAACCAAAATGTGAATACAGGTGTTACCAAGGCTACCAGTTAAGCTTCCGTTCGTTAGTGTAGTAAAGCCTTTCCTGTGAGCAAACATGCGCCATAGCAGCATCCTGTTTGCCATGAATGGAAGGGAACCTTAATTAGTATCATTGGTAACATCATTGGTAATGTCGAAATGGCTGCTGTGAAAATGTATTTGGAGGATTGTTTTGTTTGTTGTGACTAATTTTCAGTTTTGTCACTTTCACTCGAACTGTGTCTCAATGTTATATGTATGTTAACATGTAAATATAACTTTTGAATGTAAACCTTTTTAACGATAATGATCTGTCTTCATCGTAGGAGAGGTATCCACAGAGGCATGAGGAGGAAAAGAGAAGATGAACATAACACGGTCAGCATATGTCCTCTTTTTCCCAGTTTTTCAGTATTTTTCTATAATACAATTGTGTTTTTACACTCCTGTGTCTTTTATTAAAAAGTAGTCTATTGATATATTTTTGTGGCAAGATTCATATCATGTCTCTTAACTTACGTTTGACATTAACTGTATTGAAAATTACAGAGGTCTGTCCCTGTGATGGAGGCCAAGGTACCACCTCCACCAAAGTTTGACTTGGCAGCTTCCAATTTTCCTCCTTTGCCGGGATCTGTTGTCAGTGTACAGGGTGAAAATATGCCAGAGATGCGCCTTTCTGATATTGTACGTGGCCTAAAAGTGACTAACAAGGTAGATATCTTATCCTCTTTGATACCTTTTTACTCTGGAGACTTTTGTAAACAGCATTTATATATAAAATATGTATAAATGTACGTCATTATTGTAAATTCTTGATTATTTCAGTCTGTGAGCCAAGAGGTCAATGAGACCCACCAAGAAAACATCTCAGAAGATACTGTAAGCAAACCGGCTCCTGTGACCCCGGTT